AAAGTGATAAATAACTTAAGTAATACCATTTGAATTAGTATTACCATTCTTCATTTTAATACTTTTGATCACATAACAAAACAATTTCTGATTTCTGAAACTTATTTTCAGAAATCAGAAACTTATTTTCAGTTAATTAATATTTTAAAAAATTTGGAAAATTTATTAAGGGACAAATTTAATAAATTTATACTTTCGTACATCAATTATACAGAATTTTGTAATAATAATTAATGACTTTTTTCTTAATTTTTCAAAGCCATGAAGTTTTAGTTACCCTGTTTCCCCGAAAATAAGACAGTCTTATATTAAGTGATAGACTGTCTTATATAAGACAGTCTTATATTTAAATGATATAAGACTGTCTTATATAAGACAGTCTTATATCATTTAAAATAGCCATATTATAGCCCGATAATTAGGCGATCGTTTGGTGTTGTCTTATATTAATTTTTGCTCTCAAAGATGCACTAGGTCTTATTTTCAGGGAATGACTTATTTTTCCATGAAGAAGAATTCACATTTATTGTTGAACAAAAAAGTTCCCAAGTCAAACTTAGACGAAAGTGACGTAACTCCAGTCGTGTCGAACTGAACTTAAATAAAACCGAAGTCATGAACCAGAGTGAACTTACAAAGTTCCTGTGCTGGAGTGGACTTCCCGATCTCGCTTCAACTTAACCTTTTTATAGCGTCGGCATCAGGCTCAATGATCAATTAGTGCTTACTTAACCGTAGCATTATGCAAATGTGATGTGGCGTGATTCCTGGCTGACCAATTAGCGATCACCAGCTGTAAGGTTATGCAAATCTGTGATTCCCAAGCCATAGCCATATGCAAATCATGCCATGTGGCGTGATTGTCTGCTGACCAATCAGTGACTGTACTTTCAAAAAGCCAATGGCCACTTTCAACCATCTGTCGATGACTGTTATGAGTAAAAACAAATTTTGCTAGGTTTTATTCGGGGGGGAGGCCTTATATTTAGCAATTCAGCAAAACCTCTGCTAGGTCTTATTTTCAGAAGATGTCTTATTTTTGGGGAAACATGGTATGAGTTAATAACAAGATAAATTATTTTTATTTAATAAAACATTTTAGTTTTATGGTGAAGACATGCCATAATTCTATCTTTTTTATTTTAGTTTTAATTTTACTAATTCATCAATTATAAAAATATATAACTGTTAATTAGAAAAAATAACCAGTTAAGAAATTGGAGAATCACTACAAGTAGTATATGTGTGTAATAAGTCAAATGATGTTTTATTTTGTTAATGTGCCATAGGTAAAGGATATGAGGTCAGGGAATTTGTACAGTTGGTCAGGGAAAGTCATGGAATTTAAAACAAAAATTTGGGTAGGAACTCTGTATTTAACACCCCTACTAAAACTGAATAAACTGATAAGTTTGAATATGCAATATTACCCAAACTTCAGCTTACAGTGAACAGTTTGTAAATAAAAACAAACATTTTCTTAAGCTAACATCCTCAGGTTAGGACTGACTTTCAAAAGTAGAAAGTTTGTACTGGAATATTTTTAACTTTGAAACTGTAGAAATGAATTATGATGGATTAGATTACATTAGCCACATGGATTAGAATTTTTTAAAAAGTAAAGACTCTGCATTATGATTCGTCAATTATGGTCTTGGTGAGTGGAATTCTAGATCTGAAATAGAGCTCTCCAAGTCTGCACCTAGGAGTAACTGCCCTTATACAGTAGAGCATTGTTCAACCAAAACATCAATTAACTGAAAGCTTTCCAGTCAGCAAATTTAAGTTTCTGCTAGTGTTGTGGTGCTGCAATCTTTGGCTATGTCTTGGGCTACTCCAATATTATTTTTGTTGGTGTGTGTGTTTTAGCTGGCAGCACTGGTGCGACCATGAGAGGGTATTTAAGGATGTGCCAGGATTTGAACCAATTTCAACATGGGATAGGTTAATATATTTTTTCATAGATAATCGATTATCTGAAAAATCAATTTTTCCTAACAACCCCAGTCCCCAATTGATTCGGATAATCGATGCTCTACCATTGTTTATGTCAGAGTCCAGAATCTTTGATCGGCTCAGTTCTGGTTAATATTCAATGTTTTTTTGTAAATTCAGGTAGTCTCAGTCCTATTCACTTTGATTTATCAGGACTTATACATGTTTTGCTAGAAATGATTGTCATTATTTATATCATTTTAATATATTACCTACCCTTTATTACTTTTAATAATTCTCTCAATCTAAAATTTGTTTATAGTTGCATATTGCTATGCTTAATTCTCAAGTAGGTTTTATGTGAATATTCTCAGTGTATTAAACTGAGTATAGCAGGTATTTGTTATTGTTACAGATGCAATTTAATTTAAAAAATGGGCTTTGCTGCAACACACCCAATCTCAGCTCAACTCTCTGCTCTCGTCTAAATTTGCTGCTCAGCTCACAGCTTGCATGTCAAGACCTTGGTTCACTTCAGTATTTCCAAATACCTTTGCTTTGCCAAACTCTAGTAGCTATATTATATTATTTTTTCATAGGCTGTGAGGGATATGATGACTAGGGTGCCTCTTGACAGGAAAAGGGGAAAATAATGTGAGAGAGACCGGGTTAGAGAGTAGTCTTGTTGTCTTGCCATTAACTGTGTATCCAATCTCGAATTGAAATAAAGTGTATTGTTTGTAGTCTCAACCTTTATGTTGTTATTGCTCATTGTCACAACATAAATTGGTGCTGTGACTAGGATTGTGATATTTGATGAAGATCAAGAACATTCCTGATTCAACTTGAACATTACAGCTCATACCATCACTTCTGCAAGTGAGACCATCAGTACCTTCTGACCCAAAATTTGGACAGAATTGACACCAACAGGAACAAAGATTTACTTGTTACCACCAATATCTGCTCTGTTTGTTGTCCTGCTCATTGCCATATGCTTTCACCATTATATTGCCATGGTCATTTGTCTGCCATATTTGCAGAACCGATTTTGTCAACCAACCAGTCACTGTTGACCAAAATAGATACTCTGAAATATGTTTGAGACATCTCCAACCAAAATGAATTCAAATTCCAAGAAGGAATTGAGTAAGCTCCAACACCACCACTATACCGTAAGAACTTCAATAACGAAGATGATTGGCAAGGTCAACACCATTTCTGACTTGATGTCATACGATGAAATCAAACTGTTCCGCGACATGTTGAACGAATGGCTTAGGGAATTAAAGATACTAGATGAGGCCATTCATGAGGATGAGGAACATTAAATCGATGCCGCTGCCTGTGAAGAAAGGGAAGAATCTGCCAGACTTGTTGTGATTAGAGTCCAATGGGTTCTCGACCACAGGAAGATCACATCTAGCCTGACTCCAGCAAGCCCTATCATTCCAGACTCCCCTTCCCTTTCCAGTCAGTTGCAGGCAATCACTCATACTAGGTTGCCTGCCTTGGTTCTTGAATCGTTTGAAGGTGAAATCGCTTCTGAGCACAGTTTACAGCAGCCATTGATGAGGATTCAAACATACTGGACATTGAGAAGAGTATCTTCCTTCTGGAATATCTACAAGGAGAGGCTAAGCGCCTAGTAGATGGCATTGCCATAACTGCTGGGACATACTCTGAGACCAAGGCATGACTATGGAAGAAATACAGAAATAAGAACCATATAATTCAGGCACACATCAACTACCTAGAGAGTCTGCAACCTTTGATTTGTCCTACTGCCACCAAACTGAACGACTTCTTCGTCAAGTACAATAATAGGGTGCATACCCTGGGAGAGCCCATTAACCACTACGGATGCATCCTAACACCAAACATCCTTCGGGCCTTCCCAGAGTCCGTATGTGAACGATGGCTTCCATGCTTGTCATAAGTGAGTCAGACTTAGAACAATTACTGCAGTTTGTGAGAGATGAAATAGACTATCATTTCTGCTGCTACTATCCATGGACCACAGGATCAGTTTCTCACAAGAGAAGAACCTCAAGCTACAGCAGCCACTCTAACAGTTCAGACAAGGAATAAGTCTGTGGGAAGAAACAGCAAAGGGAGAAGATCCTCCCATCCTCTGTGTGCTTTCTGCAACAGCTTCCACCACTTCAGTTCTGACTGCACACTTATAACAAATTCGAGAGACTAACTGTTGTTTTCTGTGCCTAGGACAAACTTACACTGCTCGCAACTGTCCTTGATGAGGAAAACTAACATGTTGTTGATGTGGACACAATCATCATATCTTGATATGTGAGGCAAACCAAACTCAGACCCATATGACAGTCGCAGCTAACAGACCCATACAGCATACAGCCCAACTCACAACATTTGCTCTGGATTTTCCTCCCTCAATTAGTAGTACATGTCAGGCCACAAACAAAAAATCATTGCAAAAATTATCAGTTGAAAGGGACCAAATGTTGGAACAGTATCAAACATATGTTCAACAACTTAGCCAACAAGTAACATCTCTAAAAGATGAATTGAAAGAATATATTAATGAAAGAGAAAAAACATTTTAAAGAAAGGGCTGAACTTCAAGAAGAAATTAATAGATTACAGCAAAAAGAAAGTGCCATTATTGAGAATGGTGTAAACAAAAATCTTCAAAAACAGATATAAGGCCGGCATTGCCATCCATCATTATATCTCTAACTGCATTACTATTTAAAAAACTCCACCATACCTTTAAAATGCAGTCTATTTTACATCTATCGAACGTTTTCGGTCAGATTCACAGACCTTCTTCAGGATTGAACTATCGGATTTTCAATTTGCAAAACGGAAATTCCAAACTGCACAAAGTGCGGTTTGGAATTTCTGTTTTGCAAATTCGATAGGTGTAAAATAGGTTCGATAGGTGTAAAAAATGTTCGATAGGTGTAAAATAGACTGCATTTTAAAGGTATGGTGGAGTTTTTTAAACAGATATAAGAATTGGACAATTCACTTAGAAGGATTGAAGAAAATCAAATTGATAAATAGAAATTACTACACACGATGCAAAGCTATAAAATTGCAGCAAGCTGTGCCTTGGCTCAAAACTGCGAATTAAGAAAACAGCTAAAGGAATTTCATACAAGAATAGACTTTGCCGGCCACTGTATATTAGAAAGGGTCAGTTGACAGAGAAGTCATAAATCACATCGTTCACCTGTGCCACAACATGAGGCATACATCCAGAGTTGTACTCAAGCCTGTCAACGGACAGTTTCCTTCTTTGTCTACAGCACTTTATAGGATGCCAGAGCCTCCCTTGCAAGATTTACTCAGACAATGCCAAATCCTTCCACTCAGCCAACAAAGAACTGCAGGATCTATGGCAATCACTCTTCGATACAGAGATTGCCCACTACTCTGCCCACCATGGCATCATCCAGGCCATCAATGTGGAGGAGGTGGCTTGGTGGGGAGAATGATGGGGAGAGTGAAGAGATGCTTCCACAAGATCCTAGGGGAAAGTCTAGTAAATGCAGAACAGATGTCTATTATACTCATTGGGGTAGAAGCAGCCCTCAACAGCAGGCCTCTGGTACACAACTATCACATCGAAGAACCAGAGGCCTTCACACCATCTCACTTCCTGGTAGGAAAGAGAATTACTGACCTTCCAGAGCCTAACAACCATCCCCCACTTCATGACCTTGTGAGAGTGGCAACACCAACAGTCAATCACCAAGAGCTTCTGGAAATGATGGCAGAAAGAACATCTGCCTGACTTACAAAGCTTTCATCATGTTTGCAGGGTCAGGAAGAAACTGCCACCCCTCGTGAAGGAGCTCTTGTTCTTCTTAAGGAGGACTCACTGCCTAGACTAGGGGTGACCAACAGTTTTTGCCCTGGGACGAATTGGAAAGAAAACTTTTTTCACGGGCCAAACCAGAGGCTGCCCTAGGAAGATTTTGAGGTGGTGTGAGATCTCATTGTGGTGTCACCCCATAGAGACTAAATTGTACATAGAGATAACAGATACATTTTTCACAGTATCATGCTTTGTCAACATTCTACGCTGTACTTAGGAGATTTGTAATGGAGGGTTAACTCTAAATGCACAATGAGTTGTTGACCTTTTTTTTTCTTTTAGGCGTCAGAATTTTTCATCAATCTATTCAGACTTGAGTGGTCAATATTGAAAGATTAATCGCGGCCCACATAAATTCATTAGACGGGCTGTATATTGGTCATGCCTGGCCTAGACAGATGTGGAGGATGGCCGTAATTGAAGAGTTGATCACTGGCTGTGATAGCATCCAGACATGTCTGAGGCTTCCTGATCAGAAATTCATCAGCTGCCCCATCCAATTGGTCCTCCCATTAGAAGCAGAGGACCAAGGTGGGGAGGATGTGAGGGATATGATGACTAGGGTGCCTCTTGATGGGAGGCGCCCTAGTTTCATATCCCGCATATAGGCTATTATTAGTGAGGAGCAATTTTATAAGTGCTTTGATGATAAGGATTCATGAATTTAGTTTGTATCTAAGATGGTAATGCTGTCTTATAAAAATTGATTGATCACTTGATTTGTTTGCCAACCTGAAATTTTTTTTTTTTGTTATAGATGGGTGCAATCTTAGCACTCAATTACATTGGGCAAATTTAGTAGCCACTTGCTGACAAATTTACTCACTGCTATTAATCTAGATCAATATAATTACTTAGGCTAGTAAAGTTGCTTGATGATTTATCCAACTGAGCAAGTAAAATTGAAGAGTGGGCTATTTCTGTTGCCATTCATTTGTCCATTTGGTCGTAAGTTTACTCTCTGTCTAGGAAACTTATTCTATGTAATCAGCAAGTAAGTAGTGCCTACATCTTGTCTTCTATTTTAACATTTACATAACTGGGATGCTTTATATTCTATAATAATAGATAATGTTTATAAATGACTAAAATATTAATAATAATAATAATATTACAATTTCACTTGTATTTTATGTATTTTATTGCTGGTATAAAAAATTAAAGCCACTCTCAGCAATTTCATTTTTCTTTGGTTGTGATAGTTTGGGCTAAAGTTTGAAATGAATATAAAATAATTATTTTCATTAAGAATGTCATTAATTTTGCATTATTGACATTATGCTTATGCTAATTAAACAGGGAAACATATAGCACTATATCTTTCTACTGCTGAATAATAAGCAAATTGCAAGTGAATTCACAAATTCTGTGTAATTGATGATCTCTGTGTTTGTGCAAACTTATCCATTCTTTGCAAGTTTTCATGATGGTGAGTACTAGTAGACAAGCCCAATGTAATCGAGTCCTAAATTGAGATTGGCTTGGTGTTGGGAACAAGGTGTGACCTATCTGGCTTTATTGCCTCCTAAAAATTCTTGAGATTCTGACCCAGATTTAATTTTAAGTTCTTCAGAATGTCATACATGCTGTTTTTTAAAAGAAAAATATCTATGTATTATGAACATGATTACAGTTGATAAATGGAGGAAAAAATAATTTCTGAAGTCATTTGCTGTTGGAATTCAGATAGAATGGCGTTTTTAAGTTGACGCAAGTTGAAAACGCCATTCTACCCAAATTCCAACAGCAAATCATTTTGTACGCTAGATATATTGATGAAATTTTCTGAAGTCATTTGAGTAACCTGCTTCCTCTTTATTTTCTTAGGATATTTTTTTGTATCTTTTTTGCTGGCGTCGCTGAAGATTGCTTTTAATGTTTGAAGCATTTCGTGATCGGATGGATTCATTTTCTTTAAATTGAAGAGTGAGAAATTTTAAAGATTTTAGAGAAATTTTAAAGATTCTGAAGTCATTCTTTAGCAAATAATAAATATTAGCAACGAAAATTATGGAGATCATATTTGAGAACCAATTGTTTTTAGAATGTGCCACTGGTAATGTGTCCACCAGTAACTGAGTGGATAAAACCACTGGACATTTAGTTGGTCCTGGGTTAATTTTTGACCAATAGGCTGACCATTTGGACTTTCCCAGATCTTCTTTATTATGTAACCTCTAAACAGGGGCCAGTTTTCCATAGAAAGTTCCTCCCTTGGCAGATTGCCCTTGTATTGCATTACCTTAGTTCATCAAATTCTTCTGGGACTCCTTTTGTCTTAACAATTTGATATTTTACAATGAGCAGCCATAAGCAAAAATGTAATTTTATAATTTTAATTTACAAATTATAATTTGTAGCAGTTGGGTTCTCTTCTGTGTAAAAGTTGATTTATTGAAATAAAATTTTTTAGGAAAACATGTGATTATGCTAAATTTTATTATTTTACATTAGTAGTATGTGCTGTTTTTTTTAGTGTATCCACTGATACAAATTGTACTGAGTAAGAAATAGCTTAGATTGTATAAAAAATTTTTGGCTCACATATTACTGTTCACAGATGCTTCCTGATAGAAGGCTGCCAATGGGTACATCCCTGGCTTGTCCTTCTTTCTATTCCCCTTTGAATAGGAAGAAGGACAAGGAGAGTCTTACCTGTAAACTAGGGGAGTACCCATTGGCAACGCCCTATAAGGGACCATATGTGAAGTGGTAAAACAATTATTACTACATGAACTCCTTGTTAGTTTGAAATTCAAGGGACAAAATACTCATGACTTCGAATTACCAATATTGAGTTTTGAATTATTTGAGATGTACATATTTCTGTACAGTATACCAAATGCCACATAACTGAATACGGCTACTTATATAGAACACTATTTTTGTTAATTAATAACGTAGGTAAATATAAATAAACTGTAGGTAAACAGCATCTGTCCTGTGAGAACCTCACAGGTTGCCAGATAGGTTTTATAAAAAGTGAAGCAGAATTCTTGGAAATGTAGCCGAAATTATTTTTAAAGTTGCTTAGAGCCCTACAAATATCTCAATCTGCTACTTGTAGTTCAATGTTGCAATCCAGAAACCAAGCTGTATTTTATGAAATAAGAGAAAAATTCCATATGTAAGGTAATATCAGAAAATGTGATACTGTAAAAGTAAAATCATATTGACCAGATTAGAGTCGTTCTTGGTCTATTCTTTTATAGTATGGAGGCACTTTGATCTAAACAAATGAGTTAGCATACTCATATCACAGTTCGGACTGAATTTTCATTTTGAATGTTGAAGTAGCTGTATTTTGAATTAACTGAATTCTTTAACGTGTAAATCTTTATATCCTCGGCCAGGACAAAAGTATAGTTACAAACTAATGAGATTTGAACTATTCAAGTTTGAATTAATGAGAATTTCCTGTACTGTACAGTACATATGTGTATACTGTATGGCAAAAAACATACTTGGTTTATGGGTTAGTTTATCATATTAATTAAGATTATGATTGTTTTGCTAACTGTACTTGCAACAAATAACTAGCAACTGACACATATATCAATCTCTATTTCTGTCACATACTTTAAGTGGTAACACAGAAATTTCACTTGCACTGCCCTGTGGTAGAATGTCAGATTACTGGATATGTTGGACTATAGAGACTCTACTGTAATATGAATTGTTTGCTCTTGCACAACAGATTTATGGAAAGACGAAAGGAAAATGATGATGTAAAAAATACTTAAGATATTTTGTAAATTTTAATGTCATAAATTCAATATTTATTTCTTTTCTGCTTCCTTTTGTCTTCAAATTAATATTTTCTAATTACAATTACCAGTTGAATTATTATATTTTATATTACACATAATTAAAATAACTTTCTACAGGTTTATAAGGATGATAATTAAAATTATTGATTTTTTTTACTATAGGCTCATCAGCAACAACGAAAAGCCGATTCATTCTTAAAATTGGGAAAATTTGATGAATCGGTAGCTTGTCATCAGAAAGCTACGGGTGAGTTTAAATTCTTAAATTTATAACTTTGAGCCATAATTGCTGTTTATTCAACAGAATAAATAGTAATTTTGGATTTTGTAATGTATTAAATATATTACATTGTGTACAAATAAATTTTCTTTGAGAACTAATAATGTGCATATAACGATAATCATTGGTGCATTTTGGTAATTTATTTAATTGTAACTAATAAATTTAACCAATCTCAACTAGATTTACTCCTTAATAAAAGAATTTTGATGATTGGGCAGACCAATACATTCCACTGTTGTTCATATGACCTTTGTTAATCTTAAGAATGGAGTTTAATAGATGAAAATTGAGAGCAGTATGGAAAGCTTAGGACTGGAGACCTCAATTTAACTATATACAAACTTATGGTGTGGACTGGAAGTCGTGTGATTTTTTTTAAATTAAAAGGTGATTAAAAATGCGGCCTGACAATATCACAATAAATAATTGCTCATTTATGTTATATTAGTTGAAGAAGAGGAAAAAATTTTGAATAGCTTAGGAACAAATAAACAGACATGTGAAAATATTACTTACAAACACAAACCATGACATGACTTTTTAACCAAACTTAATTAAAACTGAGTTACCTTTGGGCTAGAATTAATAAATAAATAGCTTAAATTTTTCATGTAATAATCTTATTTTAGTCATTATTAAGCTAAATACAAGAAATAACAATCATGTAGTGGAATGCTTACTTTTATAAATCATTTGCATCAGTTGTTATATGAATTTATATAATAATAGTATATTTAATTAATTATTTCATCCATAGAGTCAGTCTGATCCACTTGCAGAAAGTTTAGTTTGTGCTTGAGAAATTTGAGTATGTTTATAGGAAACGTCACTGTTGTTTATTACATAATGTTACTGTTTGTTTTTCATTTTTACATAACACATTAATTACAAAAAACATTGATAATGTATGTGCCAATATAACTTAGGAATGTACAGGGTGTCTGAAAAGTTAAAAAATTGTAATGACATTAAAGTTATACATACAGCATTGCATACAAAATCTCTAATTTATATGCAGTACTGTATGGTCAACTGGTAACAAATGGGACAACATATAGGTCTTGTATGCAATGCTACACATGTAACTTCAATATCATTAGCAATTTCTTACTGTGCAATAACTTTTGGACACCCTGTACCATCAGCAAAAACATGATTATAACATTTTATTTAAAAACATTTTACAAGATATTTTAAATTCTTAATCCAATAAAATGTGTATGGCTAATTTATTTTGCTTTTAGTAAATCCAAACTTTAAAATTAAAATTTATTCTGGAATTGTGACGTAGACATTTTATAGAATGTTAAATGATTACTTCAAAATATACTTTGCTGAGTAATCATTAAATATAAATAAAACAAGATGTCATATCCTGTTTTGTTCAGTTTGTAATCTCATGCTTAGATATAGAGAGACTCAACAAATCCAAATTATTGTTGATTATTGGTAAGAATGTGTTCAAATTTTTTTAATGATAAATATAGAAACTTATTTGCTTTTACACAGTTAAGTCATTGCAGTTTACTGAACAAACATTTTTGAAATCAGTAAACCAACATGTGCAATATCCATTATAACATTCAAAATGTAATACCTAAGTTGCAAATACATAAGTTGTTACTAGATATTTAATATTTTAAATAAGTCGTCACTAGAATTAAACTTTTGCTTTTTATGGTAAAATTTAAATACATATTTTATACTAAATTATTATGATTCACTAATAATATAAATGATATTATTTCTGTATATAGAGAATTTTTCATTTAATGAAAATGAAATGCGTAAAATTGTATAATTACTCTTCTTATTACACATCATCCATTTTACTTAAAGGAAAATTCCATTTTGCTAAAATAATTAACTTTAAAGGCTGTAATTTCTTCCTGAAGTGTCTGTCTATATACAGATAAAGCATTCAACTTATTGAAAAATCCAATAACTTATGCACATATATTATTATTAATAATACAGGTTGTTTCCTTTGAATGTCCTTAGTTTTAAACTGTTCTATAAAATCCATTTGTTCAAATATGCGAATAAAATGTGTTGGAGAATATTGGTCAATACTCTGTTTCATGTGCATATGCTTGGAAGAGCCGCTACTGCTGCATGATCTAGATTGCCGACCCTATTTTTTGGTCTTCCTGGTCTACCAATATCATCTATGAATTTTTTTCATCTTTGTGTGCATATCAAGGATTGTCTATATACTACAAATTATCAGATGTAAGATCCCTGCATACAAGAATCATGGGTGCCATTAACAGTGTGACTAATATACTAGCCACTTAGAATTAGGATGTGTACTGGTTGCTATATCAGGAGTAGTGATGTGCTACTCCTGACATAGCAACTCAGTTTCCTCACTACTCCTGACATAGCACCTTGTTTCCTCGGATATCCGAGGAAAAAAAAACATCTGTATCCGTATCTGTTACTTTTTAGCGGATCTTTAATGGATCTTTTATCTTAATGAATTTCATTACTTATGTGAAATTTTAAAGATAGGTAGCAATAAAATACTAATAACTTCAATTCAAATCACTTTTTATTTCTTAAAATCACATATTTGGCACATTCATATTACAAAAATTTTATGATCTTTATCAATTTTATCATATTGCAAAAATTTTATCATGCAAAAATCATTTACTATTGTAAAATATTTCCATATTACACTGCTAAACTTTTTTGTTGACATTGTTTTTATTTTAGTTTAACTCAACACTCTCCAAAATACAAACATAATCTATGCTATCCTGTTTCACACTAAACTATAAACAAAAACATGTGCAGTGCAAGTCAAAACATGTCGCGTTACTAACGTAAAGTGTCAACTATCGGTCCAAGGTCACACGCACCGGCGCCAACTGAGTACGAAAGTTGATATCTGTATCCATATCCACGGATATACATTTTTAATGATCCGTCACATAACTAGTCAGGAGCATATTTGGAAATGTACTAATTTATTGTATTAACTAATTTTTTCAGATGCACTTTCTATTACCATTGTTTATTGTACTATATTCATGTTTCTTTTCAAAAAATTAATCCACAACACTAGGGATGTTAGAGGAAAACATTGTTTTTTAGGCAATTGAGAGTTCTTTTGCCTTCATTGGCTGTTTAAAGTGTCTTCTGATCAACTTGCAAATAGGATATTCTCTCTGTCATTTGATTAATTTATTATTTTTATATAAAGTATCATTTACATTATTTATGTTCATCTCTTCTGCTTAATTTTCCTAACTTCTTTATTTGTTCAAACACAATTTCATGGATGAAATTTGAGAAGAATTTGTAAACGAAAAAAAAACCATTAGTTGAAATGGAGTTTTGTTTTAAAATGAGTGAGTGATGCTTGAGGAAGAGAATAAAAATACTAGGATTGTTAAATAGATAAACAGATATTGAGAAGAACAGTTATTATATTATTATTTAATGGATGCAATAAGTTAAAAGCAATTTTATAAGTTACATTAATGTTAATATACTTGAAAAGCAAACTTCTGGAGGGCATTTCATTAAATTAAATTATTTGAATATAAGTTGCAAATCTTTAGAACTTGTAGATTTTCAATAAAATTTTAATATTTGCTATAGATACTATCAATATTTGCATGATATTAATTTGAGTGATTGATTTGAAAATTGATAATAAGAAAAATTAAAACTACATACCATGCACACAATCTTTCAGCAAATAATATGTATTTAAATTAAATACAAACAGAATGTTTTTAGCCTCCTTCCAGGACCTGCATCAAGCGTCAGTAATTACAGAATGTTAGATATTCTAATTACAGAACATTATGACAAGAAGATACATGCATGTAGTAAAATAACTTATTTATCTATTGTACCCTCTTGTTGTAATATCATTTAGTTGCCTCCCTTTAGAGGGTTATCAACCAATGACTGCCATGTGGTGGATATTGTCTCTCAATCTTTACTATTAATGCAATGCAATGCTTCCAAGGTTCTTAGTTTTTGAACATCGATAACTTTCCTTAAGCTGGCCCAATATGCGATTGAGCATATTGTACCAGAGTTTTTAAGATTGTGTGTATGGATGTAGTTTTAATTTCTGTATGTTCCAACTGTTGGAGATTTTTTTGTTATAATAGGAATTTTTTAATTGTATTATCAATGTTTAAAAATATTTTACTTTAGAAAATTGTCAGTGAATGTTAATTTACGATGCATGTGTAAATTGATAACTTATATACATTTACTATTTACTTTTTTGTTCTGTTGGCACTAATAGGGCCTTTTAATGATACCATCATGTATTTTGCCTGGCTCGCAATGGGGGTGACCAAGTGGTGAGAGACAGAGACTGAATTGTCTTTTCTCTCATCTTTTCTTTAGAAAATTTATATCACTTTTTATTTATATACTTTTTTATGAGTCTATTTTGGCATCTTTTATAGAAAAATTTGCATGAATAACTTTTAAATAGATAGCATGACCATAAAATTTTAGCAAACCAACCTTTTATCTCGCTGCCCATTACCATGACTCTCATAAAGCCTACCTATACAATTTTTTTTTAATAAATTTAAACTTTATATATTTAATACTGTTTTAACAGAGAATACAGCTCTCACCTATATAAATAATAATTGAATGTGGCTCCTATTGTGATAAGGTTTGGCCATCCCAGGTATATTTTTAACCTGTCTTACTGGATACAAGTCCCTTAACCTAAGCAGTGCATCAGCTAGCAACAATATGAAATCACTCGATAGAGTTGATTTTTTTATTTTTAGACTCACACATTTAGTTGAGGAAGGCCCTAAAAAGTGGAAGCCGTATGATCTACATTCCTGTGGTGTAAAAATATAAACTGTGAATGTACTAATTTGTTTGTCTTCTAAATATGAATAAATTTTAGTAAATTTCTGTCCTAGTTTATTATTATTTTGGTTATATTTAAGAAACTTGTGAGATTCTAATATTTTTTATACTCTTTTCCAAACATAATACATAGTAAATTTATGTATTTATTAGTATTTGTCATAGCTTTATATGTGAATAGTTTGTGAAGATGAAGTATGCTTATATATCAAGCTCACTTTATGATGTATGCTAGTATGTTGTCTTCATCAACTGTTTACATGTAAGTCTATGAAACTAGTATTAACTATTGCCTTTGTCAAAGAATGGAAAACACTAGACTAGCATTTCTTTTGGTTGTGCATGTACACTAATAGATTTCTGATAAGAGTATTGGGACCATTAAAGATTTTTCTATAATATCAATATGTCTAGCACACAATTCATAATATTTTTATGAATTGTGTGCTAGACTTATTAATCAATATGATTAATGATGCAGCTAACGCGCACACTATTTATTCCATTTTCTACTAAGCCTTCATTAATTTCATTTTCCAAAGTACTTGTTGACTCAGTGAATTCTGCTTCAAATAACTGTATAAAATTTAATGTTTAAGTTGAAAAAATAAATATTTTAAAATCCCTATTAGTTAGACAAAGATATTTCCAATTTTGTTTACAGCCAATCCTGTTACTAGTTCATAATTAAATAGCATTAGAGTAGGAGTAGAGATACTTGCCACTTTTGTGAACTGCATCATTCAGATGCCCATAGAAACCAATGGCATCAAACAACAGAACAAAAAAGTGCTAATGGAAGAGTTGAGAAATTTTTCTAAAACTGTTCCATAGTCTACCAAGGCCAAGAAGTAAGTTTGCGTGGAGTACAGCTCTTCACTTTATTATTTTTTTTGTTTATTTTTTTATTGATTATACCATGTACTGTACTGTACATTTCACTAGAATTAAGTTAAACTTCTCAATGGGGAACTGCGATATTAATGTGTAATATCCTCTGTAAGCCAAACTCTACATGCTTTTTTGAGTGATCAGAGAGATGTTGCAAGCATGTAGAGTTTGGCTTATAGAGGATATTACACATTAGAATTAAATTGTTAACCTCATCTCATAACGCCTGGTCTTGAACTTAACAAAATTACAAAAATGTCACATTCCACCCACAGACCTAAAAGAGTAAACTGGAAGAAAAGAATCGGCCTGGAGCTGGACTCGAATCTGCAACTGCCACTTATTCTACCTGGACCTCTGGTTTGATCTCTTTTTCCAGTATATTTAACATTACGATATAACCATCATCAGTTACTATAGTGCCAACTTGGGACACATTCAGTGCCCTCATCCTGTAGACTTCCACACAAGGCACTCATTCAGACATCGCATACCCAGCATGGCAAATATATATAAATATAAACAACTTTACAAAACTCAATACATTGCAATAACACACCATTAACTGCTGTAAATCATTGGGCTATAATTTGGCAATAATAATAATAAATTACAAATAAGTTTGGCCCTAGAAGGAGGTGTTAGGCACCATCTTGTATTAAATTAAGACTTAAAAGAGTATACGACAGCTGGGTGACAGAAATTTAAAAATTTTTGCATGCTTAGCAAGCATACTATTTGGTGGATTTTTTTTTCTTTTTGTACATAATGATAAAATATATATAAATATGGTTAAGACTTTGAGAGAACCATTTCATGCACTAGTAATTTTCACAAATTCAATTTTAGAAACACCCTTTTATTGTAAACATATTGCTCAAAATGTCTAGTTAATGTAATATGAATGACGATATCATTGTTGTTGAATTTCTTTAACTCTATAAACATACTAAGGCATTATGGTGTTGAGTCTCTGCTCAGATAATCAGTCTGTTTTCATCCATACGTATCATCATTGCAGTCATAGGGAAACAGAAAAATGGCTGAATGTATTCTCTGGGTGAATCCCGGATATTTATTACTCTGTGTCTACTAAGTACATAGAATATATGAAACAAATGTACTAGGTCGCAAGGTGGGGACACGACCCAGCTTATAGCAATATAAGTAAGAAATAAAGAGATCAACTCAGCTTGATTTAATTCAAGTCAAGTTATGGTCAGCATTGTTGCCAGCTGCCATAGTACCAACTGTTCTTTCCATTTACATTTGTTATGAATCTATTTGATTGTCTTTGATTAATAAGATTAATAAGTGATTTATAAACTTTGATTTGGAGTTGTGTAAAACATTATAATTTACTGAAAATTTTAATGTAAAAGATTCATCTTTAATTTTATTGTTTTATTTTCTGTATTAGATTTACTAAAAGAAGCTTTATTACAAACCAACTCTGAGAAAGCAAAAGAATCCTTGGAACTTCAGTTAAATTATCACGTTCGTCAGCAAGCGGTTGTTCGCCATAGACAGCATCAGTATGAAACCATTTTAAAAGCTAAAGAAACACTTTCCAATCAAATTAATACTGGTGCAATCTCTAATGCAGCTAATGTCGAATCACCTCGCAGTTTAAAAATAGGAATAGAAACTGCAATCTATCGAACTATGGCAGAAAACGATTCTCTGTTACAAGTTCTAATGTATCGTCCTTCCACTAATGGAGACAAAATTGTAGAGAACATGAACGATAGTAAAGATACTACTAATCTTTCGGACATTGCTCAGAGTGCTGTAAAGATGCCAAAGGATGATAAAATGATTATAGAAGAGTTACGCATGAATAATTGTGAGCTGCGTAACTTGGTTCAGCAACTGATAACCGAATTGGAACAGGAGAACCGAAATAGTGAACAGCTTCGAGAAGAAAATGAGAAACTGCACAAAATGATAGACGATCTGCAAAGAATGAATATTAATAACTGCATGAGACATCTACCTGTTCACATAACAGTCGATTCTAATTCTCCTTACATGTTTTCTCCAGTAACCGAATTGAGCCCCGGCGGAAGCATGCGAGATTTGCCTACCTTACCACCTTTGGACTTGCCGACATTTGATTTTAATACATGAAAATTTATACATAGATAATACATGTGTTAATAATTGTTTCAAGCTTCTGGAAAATGAAATTACAATGCCCATAAAGAACATTCACTGCCTCTTAAATCTTGTGATTACTATAAACTTTGTAGATGTAATTTAACTTGTATTGATCTATCTTAATGCGTCCCTGGTGATTAAAGTGATTCTTTACAATGTATCGATTAATTTTAAAGTTTCTGAATAGAATTTATGTTTGAATTACAGAAATTAGCATTTTAGTTATTCCAACAGGAAAAAAATACAAATATGTACAATTTATATTCAGTATATCAATGAAATATTTGCTCAATTTGTAATTTTTCCTGGATAAATTCCAATTTTAAGCAATTGGCATTAATAATAATTCACTTTAATTTGTTTGAAATTTATTTTAGATGCTTGAAACAGATTATTTTTACTTAAACTATAGTCTGTTTGCTATAACTTTGTGCATGTTTCTGCAAGGAATAATTTGCAAAAACAGTACTCTTTGCTAACAATTGTCTCCCGAACCAAGTTTATAATAATTAACAAATGGTAACATTTTTATTAGGACATTTCTGTTGCTTATACAATGAGATAGGTTAATTCAGAAAGCTACATTTTGTAGCATACATGATGAGCTCTTTGCATCTTTGTTTTATGCACAAAGTTAGAGCAAATGGACAAAATAAACTTCCGTTTCTGAATCTGTCTTCGGGGTCATACAAAATTGCATATATTTTATTTACTTTACTTATAAAATAAAGTATATTTTTGTTATGATAATTTAACAAATGAACTTTAATTTATTCGTTCTGTAAAGAAGTATTTGTAAATATCGGTTAATTTTATGAAGTAAAAATAATTTTTATTGACGTCATGTATACTTCAGCACTCAATTTTTATTAAGGTAGATGTTAGATTATATATATATATATATATTTAAATAATTGATTTTAGTTTTAATTTAATATTTTATTTTTGTGAAATAATATAATGAACTGGATATTGAACCAGTCTTTAAGAAAATAAAGTATTTTTCCTGTTTATCTTATATGTCTTGTGTTTTTATTGAATTTGAAAGTTACATTAAGAGATTTTGTTACTCAAATTTTATGATAAATAATAATTTAATATTGAGACAGATTCTGATTTTATTTTTGGTGATCTAAAATTATATTTAAAATCTTAAATTATAGATTTTCTTATCATTTTTAGTGTAATACTTACAGTATTTAGGCCAGGCATGGCCAACATATGGCCCACGGGCCGGATCCGGCCTGTCTAATGAATTTATGTGGCCCGCAATCAATCTTTTAATATTAGCTACTCAACTCCGAATAGCTCAATGAAAAATTCTGACGCCTAAAAAAAAAAAGTCAATTCTTGTGTTTAGAGTTAACCCTCCATTACAAATCTCGTAAGTACAGCGTAGAATGTTGGTAAAGCATGATAATGTGAAAAATGTATCTGTTATCTCTATGTACAATTTAGTCTCTACGGGGTGACACCACAATGAGATCTCACACCACCTGAAAATCTTCCTATGGCAGCCTCTGGTTCGGCCTGGGGAAAAAGTTTTCTTTCCAGTTCGGCCCGGGGGCAAAAACTGTTGGCCATCCCTGATTTAGGCAATGGGTACATTCCAGTTTGCATCAGTTTCAGCCACAACTGATGCAAACGATTTAATCATTTTTACTGGAATGTTACTAACAAGTGCTATCTGTAGACTTATTTTGTCAAAACAACATTGGGTTAATAGGTATGAGTAGTAAAAATGGGCCGCCCACCAGTGGCCAAGTGCTTTCGTCCCTAAACACTGGGTGTTCGGTCATGGGTTCATGCCTTGCCCGAACAGGCTGGCCATGTGGAGTTTTCTGGGTTTTTGCCACATCTGTAACACTTGAATAGGGGCCAGTTACCCTTAAAAGACCTCCTGGAAGGCATTTCTCCCCGACATAACATCGCATATCCAGTGAAGGCAATGGGGAACCACTCTGATACTAACTTCTCCAGACATCACTTGGCACACTAACTAATCTGTACTAACCTGTGCTGGGTGTTCACCGACATCAGGGTGACCTGATATGGCACATGAAGAAGTAAAAATGGTGTTAATAATATAATTAATGATGTGTCTTATTGCTTTATCTGAGCTCACTGTGCTCAGTTGCTGCATCAATGAACTAATATAATATTGGAGCATATTTTAGTACATTGTATTTCATTGATGTGCTGTTTGATGCTTAATGGAATGTACCCAATAATTTAGATGATGTAAATCACTACTAAACAGTTGAGATGAGATTTTACTAATCATTGTCAGCAGGATCAATAGAGGTAGATGTGCAGGTTGTTCACTGTGCAAGGATGGCTAATTAAAGGAGCAACATTTGATTGATTATGTGTATAATGAAATTTATTTTTATAGTACCATTAAGGAATTCCAGAATTACATACAGGGTGTCTCAGTTAAATGTTTCAGAAATTCTAAAAGGGGTAGGGTGCAATCCTGATGACTTGGAATCATATAGCAATGTGGGGTCGGAAATGCTTTCCTGACATGGTAGGTGGCATTGTAGACGTCACATTTGGCCAACTGTGGATCGGACGTGGTGATCCCATGCGTTGGCCTACTTGGTCACCAGACCTATCATGTCTTTGTTTTTATTTCTGGAGATATACAAAAACATTGGTTTATGACACTCCCGTTGACAATGCTGAAGACCTGGTTGCAAGAATTGCAGTAGCTGCTGGAGAAATTTGAGATGAGCCTGGATTATTCCAGAATGTTCAGAATTCCATGTGCCATAGATGTGAGGTCTGCATTGCAGTCAGTGGAAGAAACTTTGAACACTTTCTTTGACCCATGTTCCTTTTGTTTTTGTACATTTATTATTGAAATGAATATTCACTTATGGTCTTCTTTATGATGTTTCTGTGTACATCATTGCTTCAGGAAAGCATTTCCAACCCTGCATTGCTATATGATTCTGAGTCATTGGGATGCACCCTACCCCTCTTAGAAGTTCTGAAACGTTTAACTGAGACACTCTGTATAAAATGCCCATATTCACTTAGAGATAATATAACTTTGATTGCATGTTTGGTATTGTCATTGTGTTATTGTATCTCATGTGATCTTATATATATATATATGAATTGACTATTTACTTTCTTAATTACTTTCATTGATTTTTAAGGGTGGGGTAGTTTTTTAAAAATGTAAAACAATGGCTCATACAAGGTGCATTCCATAAGTAATGTGACCAAATTCGTGAAACATCATTTATTGAACATATTCTTACAATTAGTCAAAAATCTTTGAAATAGCACCCTCCTGCATTAATACACTTGTGAAGGCAGTGTTTCCTGGCCTGGAAGGCATTCTGGAAGACCTTCTCCGAAATGTCCTTTAGAGCTGATCTAACATAAGCCTTGATATTTTCAATTGTGTCCCAATGTTTCCCTTTTATGGCCCCTTTTAAGCGAGGAAACAAAAAAAGTTGGCGGGAGCCAGGTCAGGACTGTAAGGTGGCAGTGGAACTAATGGGGTGTGGGTCCTAGCCAGGAAATCATTGATAGTGAAGGCGCTGTGGCTTGGCGCATTGTCATGATGAAGTTTCCGTGTGGCCTTGATGTCACTTCAGCAGCACACGACTAGGATTTCAGTCTTTTGAACACTTCCAAGTAGAAAGCTGCATTTACAGTGGTCCTGACAGGTGTGAATTCGTGGTGGTTAATGCCTCTGATGTCAAAGAAGACAATTCGGGAGGTTGATGGCCGTCCACTGCGGGGTTTGTCGGTGACCTCCTCTCGGTCATCTTTGAACGACTTGCGCCATCAAAAGACTTGTGATTTGGAGAAGCAATTACTCCCAAAGGCCTTCTGAATTAATGTAAAAGTTTCAGTGGTGGACTTCCCAAGTTTAATGCAAAATTTGATAGTGTAACGTTGCTCCACAAAATGATCCATTGCTCCATGTTACATTAACTTCACAGAAACAGGATTCAGGGGTTCACAGGAATGGATGCCCTCACACGCCGTCAGCTTGGAGGCAAACGAGACCGGGTGAGTTTTGAAGCTAACACCCCACACCACCTAGCACAGCAGGTTAGAACTAGCTACAGCATATCATTGTTGTGAAAAAATTAGTCGCATTACTTATGGAACGCACCTTGTATGCTCTTGGTGATTATCATCAGTGATGATGATCAATAAAATCTCATCTAAAACTGCTTTTTGTGATTAAATGAAAGGTTTACTTGGGAGGAGTAAGCTCTACAGTTTAGTAAATGTAATGTGTCAAGTCCATAATAAATAAATGCTCATGATTGAAATGTTCTTCATGATGTGTAGCGAAACAGTGAAAAGTACATTGACTCTTAGCATTATAAATAAACTTTTCATTTAGTTACATTCAAAAGTTAAGTAGATGTGTATGTAATTGAGATAATTTGTTATTGTAATTCATTCAGGAGATAAATTTAATCCACAGCCTCAATTTGTCATAGGTAGATTAGATATGTTGGCATTGTTTTTTACCTTTTATTTATACTGATCAAATGTTACGAGCCCACTAGTCAGTGGATAAAACCACTGAACATTGGTAATTCAGGCTGGCCTTGAGGAGTTTTCTGGAATTTCTTTACATTTAGAACCATCTGAAAGAAAAGAACTGATCTGAGGTGGGGCTTGAACCTGCAGCCTCCACTTGCTGTGCAGTGCGCTTGCCAGTTGCGCCACCTGGACCCCGAGTAAACCTTGGCTTCCAGATGTATTTAAATTTGGATATAACCGTCTACCTCTGGTAGGAAATTACTTTGTATTAATTATTTAAAATTAGTGGAATTGTAGCCTGATCGTTTAGGTGATCGCTGGATGTTTCTTTATATATTTAACATGTAAATAGTCACCACGATGCTACTGATATGTAATTAAATAAAAATAAGCAATTACCATTAAACCAGCAATTAATTGTTGTAATAAAATGTTTTCTTCTATTTTAAATGGTCATTGTCAGGTTTTGATGTAAATGGAATGTTTGTAAAATAACATAAATTCCAAAATTTAAAAAGTCACACGTGAAGATATGTGCATGCTCAATGACACGCATAGTTTAAATGACAATTAATTGCTGGTTTAATGGTAATTGCTTATTTTTATGTAAATAGAGGCTAGTTTCAATATAAACTGAAGATATAGTTAATAAATAATGTATTTAGTATACATAATAAATAATTAACTAATATTCCAGACAAAAAGTCTTCTTACAATAGAAGTAATTCTGAATTCTATAATCTAATAATACAGGAAGCTTGAAAAGTCTGCAGTGGGTATTGTAGGCTTTATTGAATAAAAACACTGCATGCACAAACAATGCATTAAATCTCATATGTGACTAGAATAGGAAGCAAACATGATGCCTCCTGCCATACAAGTACCAGTGTACTAGTATTGGTCGAAAGCAATCGAGCTGAAAGACAATACACACTGTGCAGAGACTTTTCGAACGTCCCATAAATAAATGATCGAATTTGATGTGCATTTAAGACAAGTGAAAGAAAATGAGGAGAGAGAAATACAACTTTAAAACATTTTATTTAACATTCTTTCTTTTATATTTAGTTTTACAAACTTTTTCTGCAGGACAATACAGTTGGGACATCAAATAGAACAAACAACTTTTATTTTGAGGAGGTAGTACAAACATGGTACTTGTCATCTGATGGATGGCCATGAATAATCGGCAACACCGCTATGCAACGATAGCATATTTACGGCAATACAAAATCACAAT